TCAAAATGGATGTAATACTGTGGTAATTCAAACTCCCTCTCTCCCCCATCCCAAATGCATGAAATGTCAAATTTGTCCCTGTCTTTCACAGTGGGAATCTTTGAAGATTGCATCTAAGGGGGTGAAAATTGTACAAATCAGCTAAATAAACTATTGATTCTGTATTTGATTGACTGAATTTTGCAATTTCAAAATGGATGTAATACAGTGGTAATTCAAACTCCCTCTCTCCCCTGTCCCAAATGCATGAAATGCCAAATTCATCCCTCTCTTTCATTGTGGGGAAACTTTGAAGATTGCATTTAAGGGGGTGAAAATTGTGTTGGCTTGTATGAATAAATGTTCTGAAGGACATGCCATCATTATTCAAGAGTGTGTGTAAACATCTACAGTCACCTTGTCCCTTCAAATTTCATGTTTATGCAAGTGTCAGACCTTACTAGTGCTTTAATTGATGGGATCAAAAAAACAGGCATCAAAACAGTTCAGTTTCATGAGCCTGTGGGAAAAAAAGAAAAAAAAAAGCCTGTGGGAAAAAAAAATCTTATCAGGAGATGAACATGATGGCCTATTCATTACACACAATTGTTATATTCTGACAGGTGGTGTGAGAACAATGTTCATTCAGGTACAAGAAACACCAAATCCTAACAGTATGAAGTTTGTTCCTGGGGTGCAGGTCTTAGAGCATGGTACAGTTAACTTTGCCAGTGCACAGTCTGCATATCCTTCACCTTTAGCAAGGTAATAGTTATGTCTTATTGGAACCTTTGCTCTAATTGTTTCTAATTACATTTAACAATTAATTGTCTGTGGCAAATTATTGTTCTGACATAATTGCATAAGTGCTTTCAAATTCTGTCAAAAATTTGCTTTTGTCACAGAAACTGTTCTCTTACCATTGTTTTGATCACTTTTATCAAAATAAGCAGCCAATTTTCCACAGGTCTATTCAATTCAATCAGCAAAAACTTCACATCTGTAAGTTTCTTTTAAAAAGTGTTCTTCCAAACTTTGGTAGCAATTTATTGTGCTCAAAGGAGTTGACTAGAGCATATGCTTCTCTATAATTACCAGAGCAATTACAACAAAAATGAATGTAGATTATAAATTGAGTTTGAAATTTATTACACAAGCTCTGCTTTGCTTCTTTTTGTGACTGATTTGTTAACTCCATTCACCTTTTTGGAAATGAGAAATAACTGAAACTTTTGACTGCACATCAGCCCCTTGCAATTGTCTCATGTTATGTTTTTTGTTGTGATAACAATGGTTTGGGTTTTACGATGCTCAGAGTGAATGAAGTTAACACTCGTGAAGGTAATCCCCATCTTTTGAAAATAGTGAAATCTGGAAAAGGTACAAATTGAAGTAAGGGAATAGCTGCACATGGTATTGAACCTTCTTATTTCAAATTTGAAAGTAGGTGCTTACTGGCTCTTCTATGCTTATACTTTATGAATACCTCTTGTACTTCATGGTTCAATTTTCTTGCTGGGGTTGCTCTGAACTCTGTCTGTGTGATAAATAGATTCTTCCCTGCTGTGTTATTTCAGCAGTGGACTGCATGTGGTGTATAATGTGGTGCAACAACTAAGGAAGAGTTTTAGCCAGGTGACAGTGATTAGCATCCAATTTCTCCTAACAATGGAACCCCTGAATCACACATTAAAGTTACAAGGGTAAAGGAAGTGATCAGCTACTAAAGTTGTTGCTTGTTAAGGAAACTCTCAATGTCAGCCTCTAAGGAAATATGCAGGGAACAATTTGGAGAATGTGTATATTGATGTTAGGTTGAAGAGGGTTTATGATGTTCTTTCTGTAACTCATCATCTGATATAATCCATCATTAAACAGATACATTTTAACATGACTGTATACCTTAATGTGATTTAGTGACTGAATTGCTGTAGAACTTTTGATCTTCACGTGAATGTAGAAATGTGTCAGGAATGTCATAATGGACATTTCCATTTCATTTTTTTGCAGAAATTTATTTAGGATAGATGGTGTGACTGGAGTCATGTTAGGACCAGATTTCATCACAGTTACAAAGGTTGGTGGGGTAATTATTTTTAGGACTTAAATAAGACTCAAAAATGAGATTGGAAGAAAAATGGTGAAAATGTCCTGTCTGCCTAAGTCATGCAATAGTGATGAAAGACATTAAAGTCAATCCTTGTACATGAAAAAAAAACAACAACAACAACAACAACAGCAACTACAACAATTCCTTAACATAGGCTGTGAAATTCTGCCTAAACTCCTTTCAAAATGTTTATGCAACAATTTGAAATGAATCCAGTCACCCGATGTAAGAATAATTGTGTTCTGTCGTCTGTTTACATTTTTTAGTCTTTAATTCCAGAAAGATGATGATGATGTTAACTGGCCTGTCTTAAAACCTGATATATTTGCCTCCATAATGGACTTCTTTGCAAGCAATGTTCCCATTCTTACTGAAAACCAGCCAGCAAGTGATACAGGTAGGCTGTCGCATGTACATCAAAAATGTCATCTTTCTGTAGTAATGAGCTTTGATTCAAACATTTTGACCCCTCAGAGTGACCAGCACCTAATTTCTCCCTACAATATCAACACATTTATCCCTTTACCTCCCAGAAGTGACTAACATGTAACTTCTCCCTATAATACCTATATGTTTTCTAGCAAACAGTTAATGAGAATACTCAATCATCAAGAAGTTTTTATCTTGATCTTACACCAAATTCTCATAACTGGTTTGCAAGGAATTGATCAGCAGCAAGAAGAGAGAATTGACAGTCAAGATCTTGGGAGTTAAAGGGTTATGTTTCAAGAAGGAAGGAAATGGTCATCACCTAAAGAAGCTGTCACTTTGCAAATTCTTCTTGTTGGTACCTCAGGAAATTTACAGCAAACAGTAATGAGAATATGCATGCTGATGATAGGGTGTAAAGGGTTAAAGGTTAGATTGCTCTTGAAAGAGAAAATTCTACATGTTCACTAGTACACATGCCTTGCAAGCCTTGTTAAATACCGTGTACATTTGAAAAGCCTTAAACCTGTCAGTATTACAGGCAATCCTAATAGTTTTACCAACAAGTGCCAAACTATGTGTAGACCAGATGTAGTCCTGAAAGTTTGTCAGTGCTCAGTACTACATGTTATTATTTTTCAGCTATTGATGAAGATGATGATGAAACTGTTGCTATGATCAAAGAGTTGTTAGACACAAGAATAAGGTAAATGCACCAGACCTTTTCAAGATTTTCCATGTTGAAATGGCCACCTTAAAACAAATTGCAGTTAAACCTTGATTATCCACACTTAGGGAGACTGGGCTTAACAGCCCAGATAGTCGAGATTCTGGTTAATCAAAAATATTAATATAAATGTTTGTGGATAATTGGTCCAGACAGGCAAGTCCAGATAATCAAAAAATTTTGGATAATCAAAGTTTGGATAGGGAAGGTTTGACCATAGGTAATAGCTGTTTCATCATGATACAAGGTATTTACTAACACTTAATTCTGGGGTGATGGCCCATTTCTTGTTTTTGTTTTTTTTGCGAGTGCTACAGTGCTACACTTGATTCATCAAAATTCATTGTATTTTCTTGTCACTGACTTCTAACAGACCAACCGTTCAAGAAGATGGAGGGGACATCATTTTCAAGGTTTGTCAACAGATGTATAGGTATGTGGTTCATAGTGGGGGGTGAGATTAATTTTTAAAAGGCCTGTGGTTGGAAACAGTGCCTAGCTCTTTGACAGTCTTACCTAGGGGTCTCTAGTCACGACCCTTTGGCAGGCCAACTGTTATACGCTGGGGTTGGGAACCCTGTAATGAATTTGCTAGCATGGTAACTTGTATGTTGTGCTCTCCACAGGGATTTCAGGATGGCATTGTAAAGCTTAAACTACAGGTCAGTGTCATGTGAAGTTAAGATTTTTTCCTATTTAGATGGAAACGGTGATTGCTGCATTAACTAACATGTATTCAATCCTGTTACATGATAATTATATTCCATGCACATATATAATTTTCATATATCTACAATCATTATTCATCACTTGGATGGTTTATTTGGACTCAACTTAATGACCAGCTCCCAGTTGGCTTGCTAGCTCAGTTGGTAGAGTGCGGCACCAGTATCACAGAGGTCATGGGTTCAAATCCTGTAAGGGCCTGAATTTTTTTAGGTCTTGTTTCAACTACTAGTTCAGTAGTGTTTATAGCTGCGAGGATCTCTTATATTCGTTTCTTCACTGCAGTGCACATATATGATTTTCATATATCTACAATCATTATTCATCACTTGGATGGTTTAATTGGACCCAACTTAATGACCAGCTCCCAGTTGGCTTGTTAGCTCAGTTGGTAGAGCGCTGAAACCCGGTATGGCAGAGGTCATAGGTTCAAATCCGTGCCGGCCTAAAATTTTTTCAGGTCTTTTTTTTTATTAACAAATTCATGTTGGTATCCTACTAGGGAGCATGCTCCAGCTGTCCAAGTTCAATCGTTACTTTGAAGAATGGCATCGAAAATATGATGCAGTTTTATGTCCCAGAGGTGGTTGCAGTAGAACAGGTAACCAAAATTACATTTTGTCTTATTTTAAGGTTAGTAAATGGTCTGGAAAACCACTGTGAGGCCAGGGAGCACTTTGCAGTCTCAGCCTGCGGGAGACACCCGAGTTTTAGCTTGCCCTTGTCCCGCCTGCCATGTCGGACCAGATAGCTCCGGCCGGTATTAATTGCTACACCAAATTTTTCTTTGAGCCTTTGCTATTTGACAGCTCGCTAAGCTCCTTTTTTGGTGCATAGATAGCGCTTTTGAAACACTATTAGTCTTGACAGGGCTGGAAACAGGAGGAAGTGTACCTAGATTAATTTGTTCATCTCTGGTAGAGTCAACTGAGTTCCCCTCACCGCAGTTGTCGTTAGTGAGGTCAGGACTTTTTGCGCGATGTACTCTCACTCCGTTCCCCACCTCCCTTCATCAGAAACAACTACACGAAAATAAATAAATAGACAAGCGAATGATATCAATGAAAAAATATACCTACAGTATGTGCGATACAGAATCACATAGATAGAAAGGACATTTTTTTTTCTTTTTACTTGCTGCTCTTTGACGGGTGGTCATATTCCCATATGAGCTCTTGTCTTTGTCCATACAGGTTGAGGATGAAGTGGATGAAATAAATAAAACGGAATTTAGTAAACTGGAAGCGAGACTTGGAGAAACAAGTCCACCAGTGGAGGGGAACCCGGACACTACAGCGGAAAAAGACTGACATTTCAGGACAAGGTCATCTTGTCAAGTCACTCAAGGAGAACAGTTCGCAATACTCTGTTAGCTCGGTGTTTATCGGCATTACTCTCCTCCTGAGAACCGTTACATAGGGAGTTCTAGCTTTCATGTGGCTCGTCGCTATCTTTGATAAGACTGGATTCTCCAGAGGTTAATCTTTTCTATTTTTTTTCTTTTTATGGGAATAGGGGGAGGAAAGACGTTGACGAGTAGAAATTCAAAGCAGATGTCAGGTTCAGTTTAATGTTTTTGCGAGGTTTTCAAGAAAACAGTTTATTGCACCTTAAGAGGAGTATCTGCATTTATCAAGGGAATGGCGCCCTAACATATTCTTGGAAAATTGAATGTTTCAATTCTTTGCTTTAAGTTAAAATAAGCGAAGAGAACTGTCGCAGAGTACCTTGACCAAGAGGAGTTAAAATAATTTTGGTCTCTTCATGTTGCTTAACCCTTTAATTTTTATGAGTGATCAAGACAGAATTTCTCCTTACAATACCAGTAGAATATCAGGCAGACAAGAGATGAGAATATAGAAAATATTAAGTAGGGGATTGTTAGTTGATCCAATACCAAATTCTCTAAACTCATCACAATAATTGCATGGCAGACAGTAAAGAGAATTACTAGTGAGATCTTAGGAGTGATAGGTTAACCCCTTTTTCCTCTTCAAGTGAACACGAAACTTGACGGGTTCAGCAGCGAGATGCTGATAAGAGAAGGTTATAGCTTTCATTGTGATTTCCTTGCGCGTAACGTCTCACCCTCACCCTCCCCTTCCCCCCAACAAGTTTCCCACCCACTCAATCCCCCATTTGATGCTGGACTCAAAGCCACACCGATCAGGCACTAATATGAACTTGTTGTAACCAAATGAGACAGACAGAAAAATTGCATTGTAACCATGAATATAATGGTCGAAGTCTTAAAATTAACGTTATAAGAAAGGAGCAAACAATCCGGCGGAATTGTTAGCATTAAAAAGTCCCTTCACTAGTTTCACTTTAGTTCACCAATACGTCTCAGTTAATCACTATGAGCTATCATGGCAGAAGCGTGGACATGTAACAGTTTGGAGCAAAACTTCTCTTTGGGAATTGTCACTAGGAAAACTAACTGTCGTGGATCTTAAATTTAGCTACTAGCTCAATATTGACCGTTAAATTTTATAGTTCAGCGCGCTTCCATAATTGCTGAATTCTAATGAGTACTGCTGTTAATTATTGATTGCTCCTCACAAGCTGTAGTGGAGAACATGGGCAATTAAATTGATTTTCAACTCGGACATGGTGTAGCCATGCACAGTGTCTGGCACAAAGGTGAAATAAATTTCATTTAGTTCCTTAAATTTTATATTTTCGATATTGATCGTTAAATTTTATAGTTCAGCGCGCCTCCATAATTGCTGATCATGAATTCTAATGAGTACTGCTGCTAATTATTGATTGTTCCTCACAAGCTGTAGGAGTGAACATGGGTAATTAAAGTGATTTTCAACTCAGACATGGTGTAGCCATGCACAGTATCTTGCGCAAAGGTGAAATAAATTTCATTTAGTTCCTTGAATTCAATATTTCCGATGTTGATCGTAAAAAATTTATAGTTCAGCGCGCCTCCCTAATCGCCGAATTCTAATGAGTACTGTTATATATTCTTACTGATTGTTCCTCTCAAGCTGTAGAAGAGAACGTGGGCAATGAAAGTGATTTTCAACTCATACAGGTGTAGCCAACCATAGTGTTTGGCACAAAGGTGAAATAAATTTCAACCAGTTCGTTGAATTTAATATTTTCGTGCACTGCTCTTCGTGGCGCAAACGCTTCAGATAATCCAATATTTATCGAACCCTTCAAACTGATGTAAAGATGAGTAACATTTCAATTAATGACTAATTTTGAGAACTTTCTCATACATAGTAGTTCAAAATTCCACAAATTTGGACGAGTTTAGGCGTTAGCAAAAATCATGCATGAGTTGTGAATTAGGTCCAAAGCTGTCATTATTGTTTGTTTTTCTAGACAAAGCTAATCTGTTATTTACTGAACCGTAGCTATGTGCCCTGAGTGCATTATCTTGCTGCAGCGAATCAGAAAAGAGTCATAACTGTAAAGAACCACCCCTTTTTTGCTTATTTAGAGGTTTGCAAATTAAGAACCGTATCATTCATCCATCGCTTTGGAAAGAGATCTTTGAACCTGAAACGGTTTGTACAAAACTCCTTAAATTCATTTGCCGGAGATGTGGAAAATCGGGTTTTTTGTCACCCTGCTTCTGATCGCGGTTGTATCTGCTAAACCTAACCTGGGTCACGTTCGAGATTCATCAGGTAGGTGTTTTTCCTTACTGCGCGCGCGCGCTTTCAGGACCTAATTATTTTCAAGCAGCACGGTCAATTATGTTTTTAAGAGAGATCAACTGGTAGGTGGAAGTGCGCGAGACTGAAAAAAACATCAAATGAAACTTTTCTTTACAGTAAAATTTAACTCACTTCCACTTATTTGATACTCACTTTTGCGATGTGAATCTCCCAGTGCACCTTTTAGATCAAACTAAACAGTCAACGACATCACAGATAAATTTTCGTTTAATTGGATTGGGTCAAAAAGCTCTCATCTGGTCAGACTCTTACAGCTACAGTTTAAATTGACTAACACTGCTTCGTTTGATCCAGTCGGACAGAAAGCTTACAGCAATAACAATCAGTTTTAGAGAATTTATGGGACCTTGAGCTCCAAAGAGTCATCTAGACTACGCGCCAATTTTTTTTTTATTTGTTGTTTTTTGGACAAAGCTAAAGGTCAATTGCTGAGCAAGTAAGTCTCCATAGTTCTCTTTTATTTACCTCAAAAAAGCAAAGAAAAAAGAATAATAAGACAAGAAAACTTCACGATCAAACCAAAATCTCACACTTCCCAAATTAAGGCAATTACGGCTTCCGCTCAAAGAAGGTTTAATTTGACACCTTCAAACAATCCTGATGGTTAAGTAAGTACTTTTCTTTTCCCTTCAAAGACACCACAAGGCGAGGTTATAAATATGGCGTGGAAAATCCAGAGTCCCTGATGTGGGAAAGAGGATTGATTCCACAGTATGAAGGTGCGTACCATTTTAGAATACAAAAAGAAAACCGTTGTAAATTAACATTTCTCATTCGTTGCGCGCCTGAGCAAACTTCTACAATTTATGTAAAGTTGGGCGCCAAACCCTGCAATAATTATGCTAGAAATGAAGAATAATATTCGCCCTGCTTCTTACGGGTGAATGAATATCCGGCGGGGCTAAGATGACCGCGTAAAAGTAATTAAAATATATAAAACAATGTTAATACCTTTAAAAATATATATTCAATTATGTATTAATTTAAGTCTTCTCAAAAAGGCGCCAAAACCTGTTGATTTTGAAACGCCAAATTCGTCAGTGCTAAGTCATGCAAACAAACCAGTTGAGTTTCTAAGATTGTGCCACTCCTTCTCGATCCTTCCTCTCAGGACGTTTTGATAAGCTTTAGGAGAAAAGATGTAGAACAGACCGCTTCATTTCATAACCACAACTGGTCATAACTGGAAACCGTGGACAAGCAGAGTCACCTCGTGGAATGTTCACTGCTAAATCCTTTCATTTATTGCCGGTTTTCATTGTCACACCATCATCAAAACCATTAAACAAATAAATTCAAGATGAATATTCAAATAGTCTAGCAACGATTCAGGTCTGTGCGATGTTTTATACGGGAGATATTCGAAGAAATGTTTCATTCAAATTTACAAAGCTTTGTGTGCAGATGACATGTTTGTGTTCCTCTCAGGGTCACTAATGCGGCGGCCAGAAGCTAACAAAAACATATGTTATCGATTTTTGCGATAAAAAGCCTGTAGTTGTCTTCTGAGGGCTCATGAACATCTATATAAGTACTTTTTCCCATGCAAGTTCAGATTTTGTAATCTCTGCGGATAAGTCACTTTGTTCAACGTATATGACAGTATTCTCGGCCACCATTGTCATGTCGTGTCACGCAAAAGCCTAGAAATTCAATCTTGCCTTATCACAAGACAAAAATCCCTATCAAACTGAAATTGTGGAAAAAAGATAAGTCTCTAGCTGATCTAATAATTAACTAAACTAATATCTCAAACGGATTGATAATTCCTTATTCTTTTAATTTTAATGACGTCACGTGAAAACCAAGACTTGTTTATTTTATAACCTATTGCAAAACACTGAGGGTGGCAAAGGCGATCCTGATGCCATTTCACATACGAATGTTTTAGAAAAAGAAGAAAAGTATTGAATTTGGATGGAGAGATGTGAAAAATGAAAAATATTCCCAGAACTTTCAAAGACTACTCTTACGTGAGATGGAGAGTTAAACAGTTTCCCGATATTTTGCCGACTCCAATCCATACAACTGATACAAGAAACGCGGGAAGACTTATAAGTCACATGATTCCAGTAAGTTATTCGATAACAAGAAGCTACAAAACGCGTGCAAAATCCAATTTTCAGTAGTAAATAACGGATTCTTCACACTCTATTGTAGACGATCCAGATGTGTATAGAGACACCGCTTGGTTTTTGGACAAAATCATAATGGATGAAGGTAAGTGAGTGCTTGAGATTCAATTTAAACCCTCACCCGACATACACTTCCCTAGATATCTTTCAGTCACCTTCGTCAATTTTCTTTTCCTCATATCACGAATTTTACTTCGATTTTGCAGCTGAAGTAGTTCACGAGCCTGTTCCACCAGAGGTGAAGTACCGCTTTGGATCAGGAAAAAAGCAAGAGGTAAAATTGTTTGCGACGGGTTCGTCTGTATTTCACCGCAACAAATACAAATAGAGTTTAAAGAAAAGCAATAACAGGTTATTAGTGTATTTACAGTCGTGTGCATTGCGACCAAGCCATCGAACAGAAGTGGTACAAAAAATGACCATGCTGTTGCTCTTATTTTGTCATTACTGCTGTTTGCTTTTTGTTGTTGTTGTTGTTGTAGTTTTCTTTTTTCGTGTTCTGTACTTGTCCCAGGGACACATTACCCAGCATGCTTAGTAGTCTTCCTTTATTAACCAAGCGGTAGATATGTTACTAAGAAAGGTTACTATTAAGGCGTGGCTCCTTTTTTCGTCTACTCTCTTTCGCTTCATGAAATTCCCTCATCTCTAAACCTTCGATAGCTTTGAGGAAACAAAAACAACTGCTCCGCAGGGAACACATTCCAATCAACATTTATGATTCACCGTGCAATTTTTATTTCTATGTGAAAACTAGTGCGTCGAGGGAGTAAAGATCATACCACCACAGTGCCAGTGGAAGGGCATGGTGATAATGAAAGAGAAGGAGGAGGAGCCAGCTGAACCTGCTGAAGTTGAAGAGATTACTCTTACAGTTTCGGCAAAATACTGCAATCAAGCTGGGATGAAAAAGCCGAAGCCCAAAGTGGTTGACTGTGAAGAATGAATGTTTTAATGGCCTACGGAAAGTTCATAGTTTTACCGAAACAAAAGGTCTAGGAACATTCTAATTTTTTTTCCTTTTTTTCCTTTAAAAGATAAACGGAGGTTACGATTAAGGGAATGTATGATCGTAAATTTTCGGAGTTTTTGAGTGGGAAATTCAGTTTTCTGTCTTTACCCCCATTCGTTTCTTTTTCGTTGCTGTTGTTATGACCTCAACTCAGCTAAAGCCTTCACGCTTTTAATGGTTTGGTAAATCTTGCCTAGTTTTGATTACTGTATTTGCAGAGAAAAACGATCAGAACTACTTAGGGCTTTGTAAATGGTTACAAAATTGTAGACGAGCCCCTGAACAAGCTAAGGTGATTGTGATAATAAATGACTCAACAACTGTTCCTAATTTCAAGTTGTTTGGCCGTTTTTAACGTCTTATTCAAAGAAAATCGTTCTCCAATTGAATTGAGCTTCTTCAGCTTCACTACATAACAGACAACTCAAACATTGAACCAATCACTGATTAGAATGGAAGCCAGAAATTAAAACAAAAGAGGGGAAATCTGGGTGGGAACCAGGCCTAAGCTACTACAGCCATCCTACCGTCTTCCGAGTCCTCGTACGCACCAAAAAATTAAAACTTTAATTCTTATTACACTAAACCTTCCTTAGCGATTTTACCACGTCCCTTATGACTCTCAGTCGGCTTTAAGGATCAGTGACATTTTCAATTTATCTTCACATTTCACACAAACAGTAGCATCCACGTAAATAGCCCCCAGGCGTCTTGTTGTCAGAAAGGTTGGGTCACACGTGCGGTGCAAGTGAAAACTCAAGGAAATACACGTGTTAAATACCCTAAAATAAGTGAAAAAATAACTACCGATTCAAGGTGAAACATGCAAAACGCCTTAAGCGCGGGAAACGTGAGTGGCCAAATAGTGGTTGTTTTTAGTTTTGCATTTATTTACTTACGACAATCAACTGAAAAATATAGAAGTGATTGAAATTTCTTCTTTAAGCATTTTATCTAAATGAACGTTTTTCTGCCAAAAGAAAGGCTTGGAACAAAAAAAGGCCTTGACGGGGCTCAAGCCTAAGCCCTCCTGGCTCAGCTCCCCGAAAGAAGAGTGGATGTAAAACTTGAGCCCGCGAGGCTTTGTGCACTGAAGGCTTGTGCGCGGTTTCCAAGCAACAACAGCCAAATCTGATATGGACGAAGAGGCAGTAGGAGCGACCGATAACATTGTCACCGAATTTGCCACATATGAAGACTTTCTCGACAGTCAAATAACCCCATTAGATCTCTACTACCTTGAGGTATTTCAAGGTTTATTTTGGTCGAATTTTTACGGAAATCTCTTTAGTGTAACTTGTCTTCACGATCATCGAACCCTTTAGTTTGATTAATATGTTGTCCTCGATCCTGTAAACCTTTACTTCTAGTCAGTCTTTTGAAAGAAGCTTATTCATTCGTCAGAGTTGAGAGAAACTTATTAATTCGTCAGAGTTAAAAGAAACTTACTCATTCATCAGATTGTGTTGAGATTGTAACGAAATCAAGCCGCGATGTATAATTCGATAAGGTCCATCTAAAACTTGGTACAATTGTATTTACATTTGAATACCTTATTTAATGTTGAATTCTTGTTTTGTGTTCTCCCATAGGATGAGGAATTGGCACGACAGCTGGTTGAATTAGGCTACAGGGGAAGCGGAGAGGTCAGGATTGAAAATTATTTAATGGAGAAAGAATTGTAAAACTACTAATACGTACTTATAGACTGAGTGAAAGATAAAAGAGTTGTACGAGAGAAAATATTTAGCTCTAGGTCGTGACATACGGATCTACAGTAGCGCAGTAAGGGCATTGGGAGTCAGAACAAAAAACCAATAATCTATGTAGTGGCGCATCTTATTATCTCTTTTGCTGTATTTTAAGTTAAAGTTCAAAATTTAATTTAAGTTCTTTGAATTTCAAAAGAGCTGTGTGAGTGCAAAGCTTTTTTTCAGATTAGCTCACTTCAACAATGTGGGCCTACAGATGTTAGCTTTCACCATCACATGGTTTTGTATAGGATTGCAAATGTGAGGCTATGCGGGTCATTTGGTGAAAATACACCACATAACTAAATCTTTCCAACAGCATGATTTCTAAACTTCACTTCTATCACCAAGCTTAAAATATACCATTTACATGTAGAACTGCTATTTGCTTCGTTGGTTTGTTACTAATTTAGAAATTAGATAATGCTGAATGATTATTAACTGGTCCTGATTTATCTTTTTATGTATCTATAAATTATTTTAACAGAAAGCCTTAAACATCCTGAGTATTTCAAATAATCTGTCATGTGTAGTAAGATTAACAAACAGTGCAAATTTAATTAGCTATACTAATTTGCAACTTAAAAATTATTTATTGTTTCCTGCATAATTGTCTTTGTTTTAAGGTTCTGAAAAGGGAAGAATTTGAGGCCAGAAAACAAGCTGCTGAGGCAAGCAGACTGTCAAAAAGAAGTCAGCAAAAGTATGATATACATGTGTAATGTTTTGTGTTTAATTCCACTGAGTAATGCATGACTAGGTACATAACATAGGTCAAACCCCTTGAAATGAAATCCAAGTCTGACCTTAGAGTGTATGGACAAATGTCTCTCTACTGAAAAGAGAAAAGTTATCTGAAAAGTTATCAGTGTGCAAGAGTGTATTTTTTCTGTTGTTTTTCCTGCCTCTCTCCACCAGTATCAAAAAGCAGGGTTGTCACCCAAAGCACCAGAGGAGAGGTCTTATTTGAAGTAAAACCAGCAACCTAACAAAGTCCCAATACCATCAAATAACTAGTAGTTTTGAATAACTGTTTTCTAGAACTTTGGCCAGCTCTGGCAAAGATCTTAAAGATGCATTTTTGAGGGCATTAGCCCAGCGGGAAGAAGCAAACAGGAGTGGGAAAATGACAGTGAGTTTTTACTTTCTGCTGTTTTTCAACTCTTTACTGAAGCCAGTTTAATCTCAAAACTAGTCCTAAATAGACAAATATTTAATGCTTTTCTATCTAAAGTATTGCGATGTCAACTACAGTGTAATACTATTTAGTTTATGTTTGACCTTATGTTATGTGTTGATAGAACTCATGCTTGAAATTTTCCCAAATGCATAATTTAAAATTTAATAAATTTGAATTAGTAACTAAAGTTGATTTTCATTGATAATCTTTAATGATTCTCCTTTGTTGTTGCTTCTTTTTTTGTTGTGAAAATCAAGTCCATTATCTTTATCAGAGACAAGAATGCGAGAGGGCAGGTAAGATTTTGATACCACTCATTCATTGGTTAAAATTGCAGAAGTTGCAGTCAGTGAGTTAATGGCAACTATATCACAAGAATGTACTTTAATGAAAACATCATCTTGTTGCTAATTTTTGTCTTTATTCTTTCCAGGAAATATCAGGCTATATTGACTATGCGCATCGCCTAAAAGTAAGTTCTATACATTGACATAGATTCTCATGGCTCAACAGCTTTTGTAGAAATTATTTAAATTATGTTATTAATTAAATTATCAAAGGCATTTTTAGTCATTAATTATTGAGGCAAAAGTTTCAGTTTCGTTTTATCAATGAAACAAAGGTATTAGTTCCTACTGAAAGGAAACTCTTGTCCTGCATTAGAGGGAAAGTAAGATGATTTTAAAATGTAGTTCGCCAAATTGACCTCTAAGAATTTGTAAAGTATTTTCTGCCTTATTTATATATTTTTATATGCAACTGAGTGGTTTCTTTGTTCAGAGTATTTTTAACCTTTTGACCCTGAGAGTGACTAGCTTCTCCTTTCTTGTTACAATTATATCACCCCTGAATTACAACCAGAGTCATTAAGGTCACAAGAATAAAAGAAAGGATCACCAATGAAGTTCTTGATTGTTAAACAAATTCTCCTTGGCAGCACCTTATAGGTACTGATGTTAGGGAAGGGTTAACTCCTTATACCCTAACATCAGTATGCATATTTTCTTTACTTTCTCTGTACATTTCTCAAACTTCTGGAAAGGAGAATTTAGAATTTATTTAGGGGTGATCTTGTAAGGAGAAAATAGATGCCAGTCAGCCTTAGGGGTTCAAGGGCTAAACCAATTTATATTTGATTTGATTATCTATGTACTTCAATTTCATTATGTTTTCCATTTAGACAGAGGACTTTGAACCTTACTTTAATGGAAGGAAAAGACTACTTCCCAGACCATCAGATTTGAGTTTTTACAACTGGGAAACACAAACTGCAACTTCAAATCCCACTCCAAACTATCAGGTAACAAACTGCAATTTATAATTGTAAGTTGTCTCATTTTTGTACCAACAATCTTCTCCAAGAGTCTCTAATGTTGTTGTTAAAGCTAGCCAACTGTCTCCATACAAAATACTCCACTTAAAAGAATACTCGATCTTTGCTTCCCCCCTTCCTGACCCTCAGTGGACAGACCTGTAGGAGATGACTAATGACCTATCAAATGATTTGTTGTACTAATGACACACCAGACTTTGGATTTAACAATGGTCAGGTAACATTGAACCAAGGGAAGGTTGAATTTTTTTTATGGCACAATTATGCCCCTCCACCATGTAAATTACAGAGCTGCAAGTTAAAATGTAGTTAAACATGCATTAGTAAGCCAGTACTTCTGTTGGTGTGCTGATCATTCGGCAAATCAGTCTTCTATCTGATTTTCCACAACCACCTTTTGTCACCCTATACTTAGTTGCAAAATAAAGAAGAATGAAATGACGACCAGGTAATTACTTTCCAGGTCATTGCTGAAAACTCCTCAGGTTTGCTTTTCAAGAACAAGAGAGACAGAAAAATATTGAATGTGGATCCAAAGGTAAAAATTAAACTGACATTTTGCCACAAAAAGTTATTGTCTTCCCTACCCTATACTGACTGATTGTCTGACTGATTGACTGACTGATTGACTGACTCTCTGACTGTTTGATGGACTGACTGATTGTCCTAGTGACGCTCTGACTGACTGACTGACTAACTGATTGTGTGACTGACTAATGGACTCTGAATAACTAACTGACTGACTGATGAGTGACTGGGTAATTTAGTGTTATCAGCTGAGTTGAAAAAGTAAATTGGCCACCACAAAGAGTTTATAGGCTAAATGCTAAAGTGACTGACTGACTGATAACTGACCATCTGACTAATTGGTTGACTGTCTGACTGATTGACTGTCTGACTGACTGACTGATTGATTTTCTGAACTACTGACTGACTGACTGATGACTTATTGAATGACTGATAACTGACTGTCTGATGGATTGATTGTCTGACTGACTGACTCATAAACTGACTGACTGTTTTAATGTCTGATAGTCTGACCGAATGACTGACTGTCTGTCTAAAAAACTGACTGACTGACTGACTTTCTTACTATTGTGATTAACTATCTTAAAAACTGAAAGTCTGACCGACTGATGACTGATTGTTTGACTAACTGATTGACTGTCTTAATACCTGACACTCCTACTGACTGACTAACATTCTGATTAACTGACTTACTGACAGTCTGACTTACTGATGATGACTCACTCAATGATTAGAGTCTGACTGACTGAGTTATTGATTGATTGATTGATTGATAGGCACTAACACCTGGCGACAACTCAGCAAGGATTCCCATTGAAACTGCAAAATATATTCAAGTGGTAATCTACGATCACATTACTCGGAGAAAGACGTAATGCACAATCTGCAAGGTTGTTTATAATATGGACACATTGAAATGTAAATATTTGATCCTGTTATATAGGCGTTATATGAAATCACATTATGGTAATTGATATAACCCATTTTTTTCTTTGTGTTGTGAGATACTGCTGGTTACCATGTTTATTTTTAGTAGAAGTTTTGTGTCATAGAAAGGACAAAAATGAAGACACGTTTTTTATCACCGGAGAGCTGATAAATAAAAAATCGTTTGTAAATTTAAAATGGACTCTATTGACGCTGCTCTGAGCGCGGGCTCTGTTCACGACATTAGCTGGTTATCTAGAGTTTTTCCAGGCGAAAGAACATTACCATTCTACTTGCATCTGATCAAATACTTTGGAGCCAAAACCACGAGTATCACATGCCAATCCAAGAGCGAAACTGACGAAAATCTAACAGTATATTTTCATCCTCTTTTTGTCCAAAAAAGTGCTAAATTGTGACCATAAAAATTCGGGTATGCCCAAAATTCTTCCCTGCCTTTTTACCATGGGATAATCCTTCCGCGCCCCTGCGTAGATGAGTGCTTTAATATCTCGTGTGCTGCAGCACCTATACCTGTGTGAAGCGTCGCTTTTTCGTGGGAATCACACGCCTTTTCCACGCGAGTATTTGACGGACTTCTCAGTTATCCGCCACGTATGGTAAGGGGCTACGTTCGTTTAAGTTAATCCGGGATGCAAAAAGACTTTATGTACTTTTCATCCTTAAACTCCCATGAGTGACCAAGACAGAATTTCTCCTAACAATATTAATACAATATTAATACAATATCAACCAGATAAGTGATGAGGATAAAGAAAAATATCAATTTGGGGATAATTAGTTGATCCAGTACTTAATTCTCTGAACTAACATTATAAGAATTGTATGGTTGAAAGTAAGGAGAATTACAAATTTGATCTGGGAGTTCTAGTGTTAAAATATGGACGTCGAAATGACACATTACTCTTAGGGCTACATTATTTCCCATTCTGGGTCCAATAAATTAATGAAAGGTGCGAAATAAAACGAGGAGCTGGGGAGAGAAGCTGTGTTCTTCTACTGTAGGTCTTTTTTTTTGTTTGCTTTTTTTTTTCGCTCAGGGTTTTTCACTTTGATTTGCCGTAATCTGTGACGCTTTTGATGCCCAATGGTGGCTTATTAGAACGTTTGGCTGCACATCAGGCGAGTTTGGTCAAACCAGGGATCGTCTCGGTATTTTGAAAGCGAAGTTGTTACCGAGCGATATTAGTTTATTGACTTGATTTCAAAGCATATCGGGCGATCAGAGTGAGCTTCTGATTGGCAAAGTTCAAATTTGGTAAATGCTAGCAACATAGGCACAATGTTGCAATACGCAATGAGTGCAAAACTAGATAAAGAATCTTTAGAAGACTCTGCTACGAACTAATTTATCAAAGAAAGCAACGAGACTCGCTAGTTGGTTGCAACCTAAGCAGTTGCACACAAAAGCCTTTGATGGGATTCCGTCTTATCTTGAATCTGTTTTGCAATTGCCTAAATCACTGCCCGCTTGCGAGGATCATGGCTTTATTTGATTTTTTATCCACACGTTAAATGAACTTTATTTCATTAAAAAATTGTGACCTAATTTATGTTGAAACTCTGTCTTTTTAAGGCGAACGATCTTTCAAAAAGCACTCTCCACCTTTTTAAAGTAACGTGGATTCTGTTACTCGGTTCACTTGTCCATTACTATCGCAGGCAATCAGGAATGAAATCCGTCTAAATATTCTTGGTCATCTTTATCCTTAGTACTAGGCTCTTCAAAGCGGGTGGGGGGCTCAGCCTCACTTCCAACGGAAGGTCTGGTACTCAGAAAAGCTTCAGCCCCTAGCAACAGTTACCTATCCCTGTTTTTCTTATAATGGTATTGGTTAATTTTGCTGAGTGATCTTGATAACTAAATACCTAATTACCTTTGTATTTTCGAAGGCTGTCAGATATTATCTACTTTCAAAACAAGAGATGAAATAATCTCCACAAGATGACGGAGGCGTTGAAATCAGCTTTTTAACTTGTTTTGGTAATTTGTTTCCTGCAACTCAATTGCTGAAATTTTCCGCGAAGCTATTAACATAATTAGTTGATTCAATTTCCCAGCCCGCATTTCAATATTACAAGATGTAACTCTTTGCTTTTTTTTTGTTCTCATTGTTGATTGAAAAATGAACAAAAACTAATGAAAATGTTTAAAAGGGAACTTAGAATGAAATAGTAATTGAAAAAGGAAAAGCCTATTACCCTAAAAGAAATAAAAGTACCGAAAAAAAAAGTGTATTTCTTTAATGCATCTGTCAGACACTAATGGTTCTATCCGTAGTCAAACTTCCCGTTTATAGAACTTCAGGTTTGAAAAACGGGAAAAAAGTTTATTTCATGTCTCTAATGCAACTAAAGGTTTGTCACAATATCTACATATAATTGACACCCGAGCTAGCAAATTGTGGCGCCAAAATCTATTATCGTGACGGAAAAAATATGAATATTTGCTCATAAAAAAAGGGCCCCAAATGATAGTCAGTCGGTTGTCAAAATTAAGGATGTGAAAAGCTAGTAGAGAATAGAAAGAGGCAGATATACTACTTCAATAATGCGATGTTTCAAGGTGGTATTGATATTGTTGCTTCGGAAAAAAACAGGTCGAAAAATGTGAAAAAGCGACGTGCGGGTCGAATTTCTCTTTGAGAAAGTGTTGTTTACCATTGCTTCAGCACAGTTCCTGCTGCGCACGGATATATGTCCATCAACTCACGGTGAACTCATCCTTAAACCTAAAACACCGATGGCTCGGCGAAGGTTTGCCGAGCCATAGATAACAATATTTTACCAGACGCTTAGTATAGTATTTCGCACACCCTGCCCTGGGGCTCAGTAAATTTAACCCCCTTATGAAGAGCACTTTTCAAACGCCCGCAGCCTTTAGCTTACAAGATCAATTTGCACTTAGCATTGTAGAACAAAGTATTCTGTTGTTGTTTATTTTATTATATTGTTCTTTAAGGTACTAGGAGACCGTTGAATGCGACACTCAATCGGCATTGTAGAAATCTTTTCCACAAAAACGCCAAATTCTTGTCACCAGTAGAGCTGAAAAAAATTGAAACGTGGCAAAATTTTATATAACTTCCTGGCGCTAGCTGCTTTCTTGCGAATGGTTTCATATACCTTTTAGCTAGAGCTGTTTCCGTGTGAACGTTCCGTCTAAAGTGCAGGTTTTATCACGTACATGTTTATGTACCTTCCGGCAATCTTCCCGGAGTCGCTGCCTTAATTGACCTGCCATACGATAGGTCGCAAATACAATTCTAATTAAGATCAGTTATAACTCCTGCATTAATGTCGCCTTAGGAAAGCAGCTGTAAGCACATTTTACTTGGAAAGCAAATAATTAGCGACCAAGTCTTCAGAGTTCATACACGCTTGATTTGACAGCAAGTGTTAATTCCAGCCACAACCTTGTGGTTTTTTGTAAATGGAACTATTTTCGTTCGAACAGAATCGAAGAATGCAACGATATCTTGTATAGTAAGATTAGAGAGTTTAGACTAAGCAACGACTCTGCTACTTGCGGTTGAATTACAGTGCTCTTAATTTACGACAGTAAAGGTAAGTTGCTTCGACAAACTTCGGAGCAAAATGTTTAAATCAGACAGCCAAGTGAACGAGACCTCAATTTATCACAGCTACTGTTTTGATGTCATTTGATGGTAGTGAAGATCTACTGCGAAGCAGCTAAAATGAGAAGCGTATTCAAATTCGTGGTCTGTTTTACAATCCTTAATTCAAGTAGATAGCTCTTACATATAAACTAATCTTTCACGGACGCTCTTTATTTGATTTCAATTTATTTTTTTTGCGCGCCATTTAGACGTCTTTTGACCAACATATGCTATATCTACAAAATCGATCAAATTTAATTCGGTAAGCTTGCGGAAAAACTTATTAATTTTTTTCAACCATTGATTGAGAAATAAAACTACACGACATTGTTTTGAGCTCTTTTAACATTGGAAATTTTACATGCGCATCTGGTTGAAAGTGATATCCATTTGATAAATTAAAAACCCCATTTACTAAAATATATTTCATTTGCATATTTCTGTCTATCAAATATGAAAGAAATGACAAGTTGGATGAAAAATTTGGGACACGTATCCCGATGCGTGGCTTATCATTACAGTGCTTCTCTCAGCAAACGTCCATCACTTGCGAATTAGATCACCTTCACGACGCCTACTTTGAGAGACAATGAACTATTAATTTTGAAATGTCATGTTTATAGAGACTTCAATTCGTATTATTGCTTACATACAAAGAAGTAGGTAAACTTTAATCATATAAAATAAAAGATTATACAGATCTGCAAAAATTTGCCCTCAAATCTTAGAAATGTCATCTCCATGAGGATATATATTCATCCGTTTAAAACCTTTATAACGAACACGTTAGGCAAATATTAATTTCCTAAAGGTAAATGATATGTCAGATTTTGGAGAAATTGTTTACAAGCTCAGAATCACTTCCGACAAAATTACGACTATCAGGCAGCCAATGAAAGTCGTGCAATTTAGACTTTAATATAAAATTACATATACTCTTTTGTATTAAATATTCAAAAGCAGCTTTTTCAGTTATTTTTACATCGTATGAGGTCATTAAGATGCAGGTTTTCACGACCAAATTTGCTTTTAAAAGGGTTCTGCAAGCCAGATGTCTTCCGATCTACTTGATTTTTTTATAAAAACCGGAAAAGACTTCCTGGAGCTCTCTCTGGCTTTACAAAATTAGGCCCACGCTAAATACGCTCGGTCTCGGTGAACCAAATTATTCTAATCAAATAAAAATTCGGACAAATATCGTCTTTGAGTTTATTTGTTTTTCACCAGTTTACGAATTCATACCGCCGATCCGACTTTTACATAACAATATATATAGATATTGAGATAGGGAAAAAATAAAGACACTTTACTTTCATCCCCACAAGCCTGTTTCGTTATTACTCACTCATCAGGGGATTTTTAAATTTCCCCTGATGAGCGTGTAATCACGAAGAAGGCCTGTAGGGATGAAAATAAAGTCTCTTTGTTTTTTCCTATCTTAATATATATCGCGCTCTACTTCTACGTATCGAGCACTGTACTACGGAAAAATCGAAACACAGACTTCCTACATTGAAAACACAGACTTCAATATCGAAATATATATATACATATACATATATATATATATATATAGTGGATAGTGGTAATCAATCATTTGAAAGAAAAGCCAAACAAAAGCAGAAAATATTATCCGTTTTAAGCAGCTTTGTTGATATTTTTCACCAGGATTTCATTGGCGCTCATCCACACTTAACAAACAACGGCTTTACTTTGAGTAATCTTTAAACGCATCAAAGTTTTCAAAAATCAATATTTTAACTATACCATCGACTTGTAAGCACTGAAATCTGAACGTCACTGACTAGCTGTATGCTTTAGCGGGGCAAGTTCGCGAGTTAACATTTCTATGATTATAACTAACCCTAAACGTAACCCTAAAACACAAACAAGATTTCTCTTTGGACTAACGGGCATTCTGTTCTTACGGTATCTCTTTGCTAGTCTCGCAGACAGGTGTAAAGGACAGGAATTGAACAAAAGGTCTTAATATAGACCTGATTTCTGAGTTTTCATACCATCCTGTGGAAAACAAAGACTTTAAAATTTCAAGAACCTACAAGTTTTTTGAAAATGAAGACGGGACGGAATAAGAATGTTTTGCTTCTGTTTTTTTCTTTTGTTCTTGTTGTTTGTGTTTTGTTCTTTTTCTGTCTTGTCTCTCGAAGTATGTCATAGCTTTTTTTTTTGTTAAAAAAATTTGAACCTCGCATTCTCTTTCAAAGGAAGACTTCGAAGAAATGGAGAACAATCCAACCCTGATGCGCATGTGTGTTGCACTTGCATTTCTCTTGAGTTTCACGAGTGCGTCTGAAGAAACTTCATGTGGTCCCATGAAAACTTCCACCTGTCAAAGAGACAGCAACTCAGGTAATTGAAAACTTCCAACCTCAAAACAATCGATCGCTCAATAGCTGAATACCTACAAGTATTCCCTGTACATCACATTTTGGCTCTGAGCGTCTATGTCTCTTGCTATAAATGTAGTGAAACCACTTTTCAAGAGGAAACTTCAGGATCGGAAGAAAGTGTCCTCTTCAGTGACTGTAGCTCTAGCAATGTTTTAAAGGAACATGTTTCAGATTAGATCTAAGTTCGCATCACTTTAATGGAGAGAGACGTACTTTAAATAAATCATGAATCAAAATGTATTCATCATATACGCGCTCTTTTTTTCCTCCACATTCATAGGATAGGTGATCCTCTTTTTATTTCCTCAGGAGCTGATGTCCACTGTGAAAGTGACTCAGCGCCTCATAGCTGCAGTAATAGAAATGAAGATAAAGAGAAACTTAAATACCATTTCCACGTGAATGAGCCGCCTAAGTTCCGTGGCGTGTATCCATTTCCAGTGGATCCTATTCCGCGAAGAAACTGCTTTGACGAGGAAGCAATGGAATTTCTACAAAAGGGGGTAAAACACATCGCAATAATTTTCATTTGGATATGATTCACAATCACATTGGTATTAGGAAAATCTTCCATTATGTGTCCAAAGTAATCCGGGATTGCCGTGTTTTAGCTTTACTTCGTTACGTGATTGGTCCAGGAAACCTTGCACTACTTTCTCAACCAATCAGATTGATAACCAAAGCCAATCTAGACGTGGTCAGCCGCGTTTTCCCGTCTTTTAGGCAGTGGGCTTGTTTTGAATTCGAATTCTCGTTGGCTCCTCTTGATATTTTCCCAGCTGTGATTGTTTTGGTTTCTCAGTCGAGAAGCACCCTTATGCCCGAAGCCACGTGATTGGTCCAGATATCTGGCACCACCCTCTCAACCAATCAGAAACTATGGGTGACTTAATCAATCACTATCCTGTGTTTACAGCTATTTCAATGTGTTATTTTAATTTGAAATCTCACTGCCGACGTTTGATATTTGCTGCTCGTTATTCTAATCAGCTAAGGTGGTGATCACAAGAAAATTTGGTTTAATCACCTGAGTTGATATTGTAAATTGGTCACCGTAAAGAGTTTTTAAAGCTGACGTTTCGAGCATTGTGTGTAGTTTACATACGGAGCGATGGAGCTACGCTATTGAAAGCAACATGGACAAAAACACAGGATTAAATTAGATGAAAGAGATGTTCTTTTGAACTTTGGGGATTAAGGTTGTGACCAAATGGATGGGAAAGGGCTCCACTATGTTGCCGTCTTCACCTAAGATTTCACAATTCTTCTTCACAGCTCTACTTCTATACTACGTTTTACGAAAATCTGAACCCCGTGCCTAGAAATTATCTCATGAAACAGGCAGAGGGGTCAAAAAGAGATTACAACTACACGCTGGGAAAACCGTATCCGACGATTTGATTTCATTTTACGCCTTGTAACTGAGAAGAATTTATCTAACATTCTTTTTTAATGTCTTAATCATTCTACATTGTTTTGTTGTTTTTGTTTCTGTTGTTGTGGTCTTTGCTTTTGATAATTGTAAATCATGATCTATTACCATTTATTGCAGCTTCCAGTGGTACTCGAACAATGCACGTTCCAGAAGCCTGCCCTAAAATGGACCATAGAATACCTAAAAGAGAATCTGGAAGATGAAGACCACACGGCATACTTTTCACAAACCAGACAGTTTCTTTATTACGACGACGATCACATGAAAGGCACGTACAAAGAATGGAAACCGCCGATCACCAAAAAATTCTTATATTTTAGCAATTTTACGAAATTGATGAAGGAAATAGAGGAGGCGGACAATGGTAGCCGAGCGTACTTTCAGGTACTGCATTGAAATCTGTCACGTTAGTTGGGGTGGTTTCTTTGAGTGATCAGAGCTAGACTTTGGAAATTTTCATCCCTGTAGAGTTCAGTTATTGAAGTGGTTTGTTTTTCCTGATCTTTTGAGGATTTCGTTGGACAGGAAAAAAGGGGGCAGATGGATTTCCTTGAGTTGGTGTCCTTTCTTTGTGTGTGTGTGCAAATATGATTTATACGCTGCCACAACAACAACAATAATATCAACAACTATTTTTGTTTTCTTTGCTTTTGTTTTTGTTTTTTCATTGTTTTTATTTTGTTTTGTTTTGCCTTATAGCCAGTGTGGTCATCCTTTAACCCCTAATGCTTGCTTGCCAGGACTCTCTTAATTTTCGTAACGATTTTCTATTTTCAGTCACTGATATATCTTCAAGAAGGCGTCAGTGCAGCCATGCAGAACGATGTTGATTCTTTTAACTACACCTGGCTACTTGACCTCGTGACGCGCTTCAGCTGGGGCGAGGATGTTACCAACCTGCTATTGGTTGGTATGCCTGATGTCGTCACGCCTGCGCACTTTGATGTCCTGGAGAATCTTTACGTGCAGGTTAGTTTTATAAATTATTTATAACATTACTGCAAAATAATCAACTTCATTAAGGCAAAGATTAAGCTGTTTTTTGTCGCAGATCTTATGGGCGCTTATAATATCCAAGATATCTATGCCACAGGCATGGAATTATTCCGTCAGTCAAAGCATTGGAAGATATCGGTGTTTCTAACACCCTGTCAGCATACATATCATATGAAATGCCATAAAAATGATGTCGCAGAATAAAAACCTCCCCTTTCTTAGATCCCACTTGCTGTATTTGAATCATCTCAATAACAATAATAATAATGATAATGATAGTAATAATCATTTTTATTGAACTGTTTAAATAACAAATTAATTTATCATTGTACAATCCGGATTTTATTAAGCACATTTAACAATAAATTAGAAGTGAAATGACAGTGCAAACTGCGAAGCTAAGTTAACCGATTAGATTTTTGTTAACTCCTCGTGACATGGCTAACTTGTCTCAAGTTAGCCATGTCCGAAAGTCATTTGAATTCCCTGTGATGGTATTTCACGATACATGGGGAATTTACCACATTTGTTTCTTATTTTCTCACTTCAATCTTAATAGCTTTAATAGTTTCATTTTTTCTCTGTCCAATAGTATTTTTAGCAGAAGAGATATCTTGTATTATTCATTATTAGTAAGGACATATGCAGCAGTTTTCAGTTGAGTTTCGAAAGACCAAGACCAAAATAATGGCGACAGCCAATCGAAGTGAAGGCGAAACCATAGTTAGCCAATGAGTGCTTGGAATAAAAACGTGCGAACTGCATGAAAAGCACACAAACGCGTGTGATTAATTCATGAGCTTTGAATCTGATTGGTGAAGCCAAAATATGTAAAACCAAAGTAACCATGGATTACTTTCGACTTGCAATTGACAACCGTTCCATAACTGGATTAACTTGCTCTTTACTTTCTTGTATCCAATTGGCAGATTTTTGGCCGGAAGCGAGTCATCTTGTTTAGTCCAGATTACTTCCGTTGTTTGTACCCGCATCCTGTGGGACATCCTCATGACCGACAAACACAGGTAACATTTTCCAAGCTTGGCTTGGTTTAGGGCCTAATCTTTAGATCATTCCTCTCAAACTCTTTCAAAAACTATCCCGTTTTGAAGATCTCAGGGAATCTAGGAAAAGTCCATCTTTGTCACACATTTTGCTAGCGTGATTATCCTACGCTGTCTGTTCGTTCTCTACTAAGACAGTCAAGCAAGCCGTAAGGTGCATAAAAAATGTTATCCAGAGACAAAATACCCTTTGAGGAAGGGAGTTTTCTGCTCCACCACCCAAATCTCTTGTTCTCAATTTTTATGGAAGATAATTATCAAACTATCAATGAGGTGACAAAGATATAATTAGTCTTACCTACGACTCCCATCTCGAGCAGAACATCTTGATCCCAGTCCCTGTCGGCCTTATGATAATTATGAACACTTTTTACGTTAAAGGTGGACTTCGACAAACCTAATTTTGACTGGTTTCCCAGATTCCGTGAGATTAGAGGTATGGAGGTCGCTTTGGAGCCTGGAGAGGTGTTATATATTCCAAACCTCTGGTGGCATTATATTGAAAGTGAGATGCACAGGTGAGAACGTAATAAAGGCTGATGTCTCAGTTTAAGCATGTTGAAAATCTAGAATTCCGGAACGAAATATTCCTCTCATGGTCATGTGTGTGGAAACACACTCAGAGCGATTTTTGTAGAGATGTGCAGAAGACATCCTTTATCTGACTACAGAACGATAGTTGTATGCCATATCTTTTTTAATTTATCATTTTTGGACATTCTATTTTCGTTTAGCAACACCATATCCATTAATTTTTGGTTTGAGGCCAAAAATGCAAGCAAGGTATATGACGCAAGGAAAAAGAAGACGAACGCCACAGATATAGAAGCAGAAAACAACAAAGAATCTCACCAAGAGTTTGATAACCCGCGGGAAAATAAGGAACAGCCTGAACACTCTGAAGAAACCTTAAAGGAGCACTCCGAAGAAACTGGAACTAGCGATTCTGAGCAGATCAGTGAACACAGTGATGAATCAAAGGCAGATGAAACCATGGCGAAGGGAACCGAGGAAGAGAAGGATGGAAAAGAATTTGAAGAAATAGATTTAAATCAAGAAGAAGAAGATGTGAAAGAAATTGAGTTGTCGGCCGCTGAATACTTAATCCTTCTGAGAGAAACAGAAATATCGCTTTACAAAGCTACACTAAGCCACGCAAAGGTAGGTTGTACAAAAAAATGCCAAGATAAAGCTATTTACAAACAAACAAAAGAGTATTAAACAAACAAACGAACATCTGAAATGAAAAAATTAAAAAAAAAAAACAAGGAATGAATACAGAGTATGATTTCCGATATTTCTTTCACACTTACATGGATATAAATTTCACGTGGTAAAACTGACCCGAGTTTATCAAGAGAGTAGACTTTGATACATTCTATTACAACTTCTAACAAATAAAAAAGTGCCTTTTAGCGATGGGCGGGGATGGCATATTGATGAGAGCGCTCACCTCCCACCGCTCCGGCCCGGGTACGATTCCAGGACCCAGTGTCACTTGAGTTTTTTGTCGGCTTGAGTTTGCTATTGGTTCTCGTCCTTACCCCGAGAGTTTCTCCCCGAGTCTTTCAGTTTTTCTTCTTCCTCAAAAATTAACACTCTAAATTCCAATTCGAAAACAGTGGACTGGAAGAGCCACCGCGTGAAATGTCCACTGTTATAATTATATTATTATTGTTATTATTATTATTATAAAATTCGGTCCAAAAATAGATTTAAAGTGAGAACTTGACAAAGGGAACAACAAAAGCAATACCATGCCGAGATTGGATGAAGTTTATTTTGAATTCGAGCAAAAGGAAATATTTATCCGATTCGAGGTAGTCGATCTGGATAGGTTTTCAATAAACTTTAAATTTATTTTCCTGTTAAGGGCGTGCGACAATACTTTAAAACTCACCTTATTTTTTCTTTTTTCAGGTGAAGAAAATATTGGATGAATTGCTATCGGGAAGATTTGATCACATATAACGCTTAATGATATCAGAAAGACTATGACAATAATGAAATTATAATGACAGAATTTAAGAAATACCATGACACGGTGACCTGATCGCAAAAAAAAATTATCGTTTCAGAGAACTACTTAGGAATTTATAAGTAATTATATCAGAATAAAATCTAACAAATTTTAAGAAGAGCAGCGATGATAGATAAACGTAGATTGAACAATAAAAGTGAGTAAATGAACAAAAAACCGTTTTTTGTAATAACTAACTGATTATTCATTATCATGAAGTACGAGAAATATTCGAATGTTCTCCGTGAAGGAAGTCATTGAGCACTTGTCAATTCAACCTGACAGATAGAGACATATTTTTTTATTTGTAGGAAAATTTGGAGTAAATGGTAGCGAAGCGAGCGAAGTAATGTTGTTTAGTTGGGCATCAAAAGCTCCTGACCTAGGATTGTCGGATGAGATTCAAGATACCTTGATAAAAAATTATCGGTAGAAATCATTCGTTCGCTTTTTATAAGGTAGAAGGAAAGTAAAAAAGTTTGCGGTATGTAATTCTTTTTCATAATCTGTGATCTAACCGATTGTCAAACCCGATTCAAAGGCAGTCTAAGTTGAGCCACCGAGTTCAGACCTTCCGAGATCAAGGCTATTCGTATGTGTAGTTGGTAATGCGTTTGGGTAATTCTCGCCTTACTGGAACGGAGACATTGGAGGCGGACGGCAAAGCATATTCGGATAGCATTTGGCGGCAATAGACTTATTTCAATCAGTGGTTCACGATTACACGGTAAAAACACTCCTCTCTGGGGAAGCATCAGTGTGGCATATTCCCAATGGCAATTTTTATGTACAACTCTCGTATCTATCTCGTCAAACTCGAGTTTTGCAGCCTGAACTGTTGGCCCTCATTCTGGTTCAAGAATCAAGGGTTCAAAGAGTATCTAAAGAAACTATGGTGCTTTATATCTTCGCTCCAATGAAGGGCAAGCGATCGAAACATCAGCTTTATCGACTCGGCAGATAAAATTAAGTAATCTTGATTCAAAAATTGTTTGGTAACGAATTTCGTGTCTAAATATTGATCACAGGTTCGATTTACGGAAGGTAGACAATTTGTACGAAGTAGAACCCATTCATCACGCGTGCACGCGAGAGAAACTTTGTAGTGCGGTCTGCATTGACAGGGAAAACATCGCTTTGAAATCTCTCGAACGGTTCTGAACTTCCGAATGTTCACAAACTGAAAGTCAGTTCGATATCTCCTCTTGACCTTGTATTAAACACAGGTTAGACTCTATGCGATCGATACGGCGGTTAAGCTAGCAACAGTGCTAGAAAAAAAACTGGCAGAATTGAATAGTTGTTTGCGCCATAAAGATAATGTTTATAGATAAAATCAGTTTCCAATCCATTGTGATGAATTTTCCGCATACTTTTCCTTCTGTGGTACTTAAAGTTCCTTCCGCGTGTCTGTGGAATGACTGTTAGACATGCAAATGATTGAAAACCGCAAGTGCATCGCTGTTTAAATTTAGCCTGAGCTTGAAGACTAGAAACACCGGTTCGATAGGTATCAAGAATTAAGTAAAATAACCTTGAATATACACAAGGGACTTAACTTTTAAGTGATCGCCGGGCGACGACTTAAGCGCCGCCAAAACAAATCATCAAAATATCAACAGTTCAAGTTTGCCCAATGATCGCATTGTCAAAGTTACATATTTTGTCATCCTTATTGACAACCATGTCACGAAGCGCAACCCAACCGTAGAAATCCTTTGTATTTTGTCACAATTATTTAGTTTAGACACACAACGCGTTTGAACCGGTATATCTTGAGTTGAGTGTCTAATTGAGCTAAAGGAAGTATAAGTGCTCGCAGAGGAAGCTTGTTGAGGCATCTGAATTGATATAAAGCCTAGCTGATATTATAAAGTGAATCAATTTTTTTTCGACGGTTCTGGTATAGCTGATACGAAATGGGAGCTTCGAAGATTTATCTGGTGGCTGCAATTTTGCTCATTAACTTAGTGGGGACAATGATCTCTGGTGGTGGTAGGTGTTTACAAACTCAATTTTGTAAAAATTATAAATGATGACTTATTTGCAAATGCTATTACGCACCAAACAACTCTTTTCTTTCGGCCTGCGCATTCAGTTGCTTACTTGTTATTTGTGTGTAAATAATTTGACAGGAAGTTTATATAAACAAGGGTGTTTTTGGAGAGAGCTTCGAACGTGCTGGGGTCCAAGTTACCGTCCATCATAAGACAATGAACATTTTCTCTCGCAAAATCAGTCTGTTCAGGAAACTTTGGGAATTTATACTAACTACTTATCGAAAAGCGCCAGTGAAACTTCAGTTTGATTCGTTTTGTTTACTCCCCCGCTTAAGTTCTGTTTTAGCATTGGAAATCTTGGTGAAAACTGAATTTGAAATAACCCACCCCAAAACTATTTTGCAAGGCCACTTATGCGACAACCAAGAGCGATTGAGAACAACAATATTTTTCGGTGATTTAGACTGAGTATAATTTAAAACAAAACACCACTGATATTCGTTTGTTTCAGCACCACACCATCGACAGAAGTTACAGAGAACCGGAAAATTTGAAGACATCCGTTTGGAGGATGTAAAAATTCCGTTTGAGGACGATCAGTCAGACAGGAACAGAGAACGCCAACGGCTTATTGATCCGCCCGGTGTTTACCACAGCAAGGACCGTCCTGGTCGGTCTTTGAAACTGCCAAAGAATTGAAGAATTGTGCTTGGGTTAACTCACCTTAAAGTTTTCAAGTGCAGTGTGAAGTGTGATTGCTACAGTCCAAAGTTTTCAATACGAGTGTTGGAATATAATCAAGCCCGCAAGTTGTTTTGACTAGAATCAAAAGATATGAAACAATGCATGTATCGAGTTTTTAGACTTTAGTTTCATGTATTTCGATTAAACAGCCCTATGATTAAGCTTATTTTACTTAATTGCCCAGGTCATCAGTGAGCCATTTTTTTGCGAAACTTTTGCGTGAAAGAATTAGTTTGTAATTAATTGCTCCTTCGAATGAATTTTAAAACGTGAAAAATGTACGCATTTACTCATAAACATTAATAGCAAAATAATGTTGTCCTGTTAAAGAGATGTAAAAATTTGCTCAGAGCAAAATCATTATCAACATGAATAAAGAGTGTGAACTTGAGGCAAACGTCTGCTGTTTTGTTTGACAGATGTGTAAGTTAGGGTCAGTTCAAGAAAAATAGTACGGCCTCTGTCACAAGTAAACGTTGTCAAACCAGGAAGAGGAAAAGTTGCTTTACAAGTGAAATCTCAGCTAGTGATTCATGGTCTTCCTCAAAATAAGGAACGTTAATTCAGAGTGGAACAACTCACCTGGCTGGGGCTCAAGCGGCAAACTATTCATTTACTGTGCTATGCGAACTTCACACTGCCTTCATATGTTCTATTGCAGACGACGTTTCGCACCGTTAATAAAGTTAAAGTTGCGGTAATTGCGAAATTCTCTTAAGAATTTTATGTAGAGAATTTGATCGGTCTGGTTTGTTTGAAGATGACCACTCTAACGTTTGATGCAAACTGACAGTTCCGAATCCAAACCGAAATCACTCTTCATCCTTTAACCTTATTTTCACTCAATTTTTTTTCCCTCGGTGAACTCACTTTAAACAGAAGTTAATGAGAAAGTTAAATTCCCTGTCCCCTTAAATTAAGGGACAAAAAAAAAACTAATAGATAAATTAGAAATTTCAAACAAATTTAATTTTTTCGGGTATGAGAAGAATCACGCGTGTCACGCAATAAGGGCTGTAACAGCGATGTCCTTAAAAAGCGGTCGACAATGGTCTCCATAGTAACTCATTGCTCTACGATTCCGTTCGCCGCAGGGAAGCAGTAGTTGGTAGACATGGACTTTTTCTGACGCCGAATTGTCTCTCTAATGGGGATAAAATGGTTCTTCCATTCGAACGGCAGCCTCTCTTACACAAGAGATACGCTTCTCTCTCTTCTCCAGAGCTCACACGGTTCTCTCAAGGCGAAAGCGGCGATGCGTCGAGAGGAGACGAGTATGCGAATTTTCTCAAGTGAGCGAATCTTTGTTTACGCTAGAATAGTAAGACTAGTTTATAATGTGTAACCAAATAATATGTATGACGAGTCTATTTTAAATGAATAAGTTAGTTTGCGGTGGTTTGAGGCAGATTCTATTAAATTCTAGCTCGTTTTGATTAAATGTTAGCGCCTTGAATTGGATGTCCGCCTGCGATCGATAGCAGAATAATAAGTTAGCGAGATATCAAGTGGTTTCATATTTCGAACTAATGAGCATAAAGAATATTGTTTTGACTTTTTATTTCAACTTAAATAGAAAGTATGATTTTATTAGTGGTATAGATTTTGTAGCTTAAGTGCTCTAAAACAATTTAAGAAAAAGCCAAACGTGCGTGATAATTGTAACATACTTGTGGCTCTAATCTCTTTGTGATCGATCACTCGCAAATATTAACACCGCATTTCATTTGCTGTCATTTCAATTACGCTCCAATGCCAGTGGATGAAAACGTCAATATTTGTTTCGAAAATAAATCCCTGTTTTCTTAGTTTCCCCTCTTTTGAAGACAATGATCGATCAATTTGCTTTTATTTTCCTATGCCGTCTCAGTATCCGTAATTCCCTTTGTCTCAAAATGTAAGTTTCCAGGGGCAACCTCTAAAAGAAGCTTCAAACTATGAGACACCTGACAAACAAGCCATAAGTACAAATCCGTCATGAATAATGTAGTCAGTTTAGCTAAAAAGAAGAATAATATATGCTGGCATGCTCTTAATGATTTAGAGTGGTTGGTCTAAAATAAGGTCTCATGAGGGAGCATAATTTTTGAGAATTTTTAATTTTCCTTTTATGAACCTCATAACTCTTACATGTGACTCTTAACTTTCTCTTTGGTATGTTATGGGTATCTGTCTTCTTCGTAAATCAGCAGTGAGAATCAGCTTTTAGGCATTAGGCAATGCCCTTAATAACCCACCTCCTGATGATTTGATGTAAGGAGGAGTTTCTAGATTACATCTGTTCTGGGAAGTAAAGGTTTTAAGGAAATAGTTCATTTAGGGGCAAGGGTGGGTTGTAGTGTGATTTTCAACCCTTTAAGACCCACTAGTGACCTAGACAGAATTTCTCCTTACATTATCTGTACAATATCAAGAAGACAAGTAATGAGAATAAAGAAAAATATCAATTTGGGGATTTTTGGTTGATCAAGTTCCAAATTCTCCAAACTAACTTCACATAAATTGTATGGCAGACAGAAAGGAGAATTACTCATGAAATCTTGGGAGCTGAAGGGTTAATGAATGCTCCAGCTTAGTGGCATGTTTTTAGTAGAGATCAAGACTAATTAGATTAGACAGACAAATAGTTATCATGAGTGTGATTTGTTGTTATTGTGTTTGACGAGTGTTGCAAAACCTCATCAAAGAGCACCAGCTACACTAGGGTCTTGAATTTGATCAGCTAGGAAGGAAAGAACACTCTCACTGATGAAATTACTGATGTGTTGAACCCTCAGTTTTGGCAGGTATTGGCTCAGCTGCCCTGTTTCACATATTCATAAAATGGTAACTAGCGATTGACAAAGCAAATCAAATTGTTTTAAAGAAGGACATTACTATCAAGGAAAATAATCTCTTTCCTGTATGGGTTGTAGTTTATTTGGTAAATAACACAGATAATTGGTTTAACATCAGTGATTCTCTTGGTAATGGCACCATCTTCTTTTAATGATACCAGGTCATTAGCAAATGGAGAACGGCAAGATGTTGGGGTGTCAAGGTGATGTTAATTCTATTGTATTGTTTTAATTGCTGTTAATCAAGGATTTAGAGTTCAGGTATATTTATTGTTACTATAAACAGTATGGCAAACAATGATGATGTAACTGACATACTTTCATGTGACATTTTTCCAGACCTAAGCCAATTGCTGGAAAGCAAGGCCGATCATCGCCAACAACAAAAGACCCAAAGCAGACTAAATATAGGTTGTCACCAAACAGAAGTGATGGTCTGCTTCATGTAACATTAACTGCAAAACAAAATATACAGGAACACCAGAAAAAGATGAGAGTTATTGAGGTGAGGTTGGACATAATGGAGCTGAAGATGCTGTCCAATTTCAATCTTGTTTGTTTTGTGGTTTTTTTGGTTTTGTTTTTGTTTTTTTTTTTGTGTGTGTTTTTCTGAGTAGGCTGGTTCTTTTATTTTCTTTGATGTTCTTTGGAAACATTTTAAATAAGTATACTCTATTTATTTACCTTTTTTGTTCTGTGACTCTTTGTATGTTTTGAGTATAACAGTTTTCTTAAACATTTATGAAGCAAAGCTGACAAGAGAAGGACTTCTTGCTTCTCTGCAATGATGTAAACCATCAGCTCTTAGGAACCTTCAAGAGTGACTTAATCACCTAATTTCTCCTTACAGATTTCCCACTCAATAAAGCTGTATTAGGTCAGAATGAGTTCTTTATTGTTCCGCATATCCTGTAGAGAAAAAGAGAGGGGAAAGTTTAGAGAAAAGTGTTGAGAATCTGCCCACTCATGTTAGGGTGTAAAGGATTCAGAAAGAAGTGAACAATTTCATGAACATTATGTGTGATTCAGTGGTTTATTTGATAGGATCATATGCTGCAACATAAACAAGAGGAAAGAGAACTGAAACGTTATGAAGGAGATATCATTAAGAAACAACATCATCTCAGAAGAACCATGGCAGAATATGAAAACAGTAAGTCTTGAGCAAGAGATTTATTGAACAACTACTTATTTATCTACTTGGAAATTTTAAATTTGTGGTAAGTCATGCAAATTGTGCTTGCACATGTCTAGCAGTAATCAAAGAACAAATAACTAAGAAATAAAAGCAAAAGATTGTAAGAGAAGAAATACATGTAAAAATATATCTTATATTCAAGTAATATTGGTTTTGTTTGTCATCTTAAAGAAAAACAAACAAATAGAAAATGTTATTTCAATCAGGAAAAAGTCAACCTAAGTTTCCGAAGTAATCTTAAGATAAGACCAATTTTCATGAGTGAATCAGCAGAAAAGTGTCTTGAAAGAAGACCAGGGGGAGGAAGAAAGATAATTTTCAGCTTGAATGAGCAAAGTTTCTCATTATTGTAATGAAAGATAAGACAGTAAACACACACAAAAATTCATGAAAAGAGCAAACTGATAGGAACTCTTGTTTTAAAAGCAAGTGCTCCTTGATTACTAATCTGTAGTGTTAATAAAATGTTCTGCTTATTCTGATAAATTGTTTTTGATTTCACATTCTTAAAACCATTTATATTTTTATTTTTATATTCTTTGAGATGTATTTATGAATATTATTCATAACCACGTTATCATATTCTCAAACAAGTGGAAAATTAAGAAGTCAAATTGGCATTGACATATTTTAATAATTGAAAAAATAATTTAACCAAAAGTTGTGAATCTTTTTTTCTCCTTTTCAGGTATTTACAAAAAAGTGAGAGGTGAAGAAAGTAAGCTTAGTGAGAACAATCAGGGCGTGGAAAGAGTTAAACAGCAACATGCCATACAGGAGGACAAAGTCAACAAGGCAAGAACTGAGAGGAACATGTCTGCTATTGTGAAATTTAAAGACAAAGATAGGAAGGAAGGATTAAACCTGTAAGTATCGTGGCAGTGATCAGGGTCAGTCAGACTGCAATTCTATGCTGTCAGGGTTTGAACATGGGAACATTGGGAGGGGTGCCAAGTGACCCAGTAAATTATTACAGCTTTAGCTTGAGGACAGATCTGTAAATCAGATAAAAGAGCTACATTATCAACAGTCATCTGGACCCTTTAAATGGTGTGGCCAGGCAGCTAAAATGGTGGCTTACCACTCTATAATATAGGTTAAAGGGATTGGGATTCTTGACATGATACATGTACACCAAATGGCAATATTGAATTTTGTGCACTTTGTTAACTTTACTAAGCAGTGGTGATTTTTCAATTTTACCAACATTGTTTTTTTTGGGGAGGGGGGGAGGTTCTCAAAGTATGCACACGTAAACTGCTGAAAAGTGGTCTTCCTTTAAACATATTTGGATATTAGAATGTATTCATTAGCTGACTCCCAAGGGGTTTTAATCCCATTGCAGCTTTTCAAAGGTCGCACTTTTTAGAAAAAACCTCTGCACATGGCAGAGGTTTATGTGGAATTAATTTGGATGGTATAATCTTGTTAGACTCAGGCTCTGGTTAAGTCTGTTGTATTGTCAGTGCCAGCAATGACAAAACACTTCATGATGTCCCAATGCCTTTCTCCACCCAGGAGCACAAAGTGGTATCTGTGAAGGGTCATCATTACATTGGAAAAAAGCTGCAGAATTAATCCCATTTAAATATTGTATGAAGACATATATTGAAGTTGATGATTTTTTCAGCTTACAATGTATGTTTGCTCCTTCAGGGGTGAAGTGGAGTTTCAGTACAGTAAAACAGCCAAGCAACTAGAGCTGACTCGTACAGAAATCTTTTCACTAACTCAGCAGTTTGAAGAGAATCTGAAAAGAATAGAGGTATAAGTTTTTTCCATGATACAAATGCATATGATTAGATTTGTATTGCTTTGGTTAATGTCAAATGTGACCTTTAATTGAATTAGTTACTCAAAAATGACTTCAGCTAACTACATCAACACAACAATGACACTTGTTCAATTTGATTAATGTTGAAAATATTGTCTATTGAGTCAGATGTGAATTGAGTTCTTATGGGATTGCCAAATGGAAAAGTGCATCTCCCAAAATCTCCACCCACTCTCGTCAGGGTTGATTTATTCCAAGTTATACCATCTAAATTTGCAATCAGGAGTACTCAGAACTGTTGTCATTTTGTGATGTCATCATCTCTTAGTTACCACAAGAAGACCTTCATCATTCAGTTATGAAACCATACGAGATGATAAATTTAGGAATACAGAATTCAGTAGTAAATGTTTATGTAGAAACAACTTTATTTTTCAACAGGAAAGGGGATTTGAATTGAAAAAGAGTTTGGCTGAGCTTGCCATTGCAGCAAACAAGATGGCGCTGAAAAAGAGAACACAACAAACGGATGATGACAGGTATTAGAATCACATGAAATCTGAATGATTATAGAAAACAACAAAACAAAACAAAATGAGTTTAATAAAAAGCTGACAAAAACACTACTACAATGAGTGGCAGAATGCTTGTTGAATATGGAAGCGATCTTTGCAGTAATGAACACCACTTAATGGGCAGTAGTGAAAATGAGGCCTGAAAAAAATTCATGTCATTAGGGGATTTGAGTCCATGATTTCTGCGATATCGGTGCAGAGCTCTACCAACTGAGCTAACAAGCCAACTGGGAGCTGGTCATTGCACTGATTCCAAATTAACAGGTGAAGTAATGAGTAACTGACTGTCAATATATGAAAGTCATACACAGTGTATGTGAATTGCGGATAAAGAAATGAATATGGAAGTGATATTCACAGTAATTAATTTTTTTCAGGCCTTATTTTCACTACTGCTCAAATATAGTGTACATTACTGCAAAGATCACTTCCATATTGATTTCTTTATTTGCATGTCACATAATTATGTGATTTTCACATATTTACTGTCAGAATACTTGTTCTTGGACCATTTTTGAAAATGGCGTGGCATGGTATCTTGATGGTTAATTGCAGAATTGTCAAATCAGTGTAAGGTTTTTTAATTTTCAGATATGTAAAGGACACAAGCATCAAAGATATTCAGGTTTGAGATTTAAACTCTTATACCCATAGTTAGAAGAGATGCACATGTATTTTTTGTTTCAAGCATTTGTTTGGTTTGCTTGTCTCTTTCATGGTTGCTTCTTTACTTTAGCATATAAAGCACCAGATTTTTTCATGTGTATATTTTCTTAATAGGATGACAGACGACGTAAACAAAGCTTGACAGAAAAACTCAAGTAAGTGGAAAAAAAAAAAGAAAAAAAAAGAAATGAGCTGATGATTCTTGACAGTTTGGCTTACAGTTTATAAATATATATATCATATACTCAAAGACTAAGTAGGAGGGCTGGACTGGAACATATATGGCTTTGAAAGACGAAGAAAGACTTTCTTTTTTTTCCTCTTTGTTTGAGACCCTATCAGCCCAACTTACTAGTAACCTATATATTGGTATCCCGTAATCAGCACCTGTGATTCCTCGATCAGAATAGTTTTGTTATGTTGGCACAGACATCAAGAGAAGCTTAGTATCTTCAACCTGTGTCTTGTGTGTCTCCTATCGGTCTGCGCCTCACTCCCAGAGTTCCGCGCGATGCGCTAACATCCATTTTTTTTCCACTGTTTTTTCTCACTCGCGCGACAGACTTCGCCGAGAAGGAGGAACTGCTCTTAGTGTAGTCCTCCAGCAGCCTCTCCAATTTCTTTTTCCTTTCTAAGTAACGGAAATGTATTTTTTGTTAATCAACATTTGATACTGTTCATTATATTGCAGAGGTATAGAAAACCAAGGACTTAAACATGAATACGGCAAGCGGCGTTTGAGCAGGGACTTGATGGTCTCCAAAGACATGTTGTCCTTAAAATCAAGGGAAGGTAGGTTCACATTTCTATTCTCGTTTTATGATTGAAAAACAGATAAACAAACTAACAAACCTAGTAGTAGGTGTCTAACAAACGGTTTAGGAAACGAAGCAAAAACAAAAGTCCGGTACAACGAATTACATGTTCACAGAGCACTTTTCGATTGAGAGTCGTAAAACCCAAACCAAAGTAATCGCAACGCCAATCAGAAGAAAGGGAAATTTTTAGGAGCCGATTAGAATTTGGTACACTTGTACTGCTTTAAGTTTGCAGATCGAAAAGTGTGCACGTGAGATCAGAAAATTTACCATACACTCAGAATGTCACATTTCCTCTTACCACCCAAACTGTTCCCTGTGCTGCTTAATAATCCCAGCTCACAACATTACTTTCAGCTTAATGTTGTATCTCTTTCTCCTGCTCTCGTTTCAGAGGGTAGAAAGATGACCGATATTAATCGTAGGCTTCAACACAATTCCGTCAGCCAAAAGCAAGCTAAGCAAGCGGCAGAATATCTGGAACTTGATCGACAAGGAAAAGAGATTGAGGAACGAGGCCAGGTAAGGGCATGAAAATGGCATTACTAAATGTTCTGGCTATTGGGAATGAAACCTCACGATGCAATTATGTGTGTTTTTCTGTTTTTTTTTCTCCTCTTGATAGTCTACCCTAAGTTTATTCGCAAGTCACGAAATGCACGAGCATTTAACGCATTGTTCTTAAATTTTTTCATCAAATCACTTACGTGTCACGACGATTTCTTTTTGTACGCCCACTTTGCACTCCACACGAATTTCTTTTTAATGACTTAGGAAAAACTCTTGCATTATTTGAATTAATCATTCCATACATTAAATGTGCTAGTCATACCAACCTTATTGTTTTAGCTTATTCAGACATTCATCATGGACTATTCAGGAACGAGATATTTTATTGAGTAAAGAAAACACACTTAAATGAAAAAACCTCGCGTTTTGAACGTCAACCTATTGGCAGACTTTTCTCCTATGTGGCCCATTGCTGCAGAAATGATCTCTATTTCATTAGACAAGAATAAACTCTGGTGCAGCAAGCCACTTGGCTTGAGTGCAGACTTAACCCTTTATAATTGTCAGATGAGGAGGGATTTTAAGCTCGATTTTATTATTAATTTACTCTGTCAGTTTGCCGAGGCTCGCAGAAGCCACCAGATTGAGCAGCTGACAAGGGACAGAAGACAGCAACACTCGCAGCAGATGACTGAGTGGAAGAAACGTTACTTAGAAAAACAGAACGAGGCCACTCGGCGTGCCCATGAAGACAGCGTCAAACATCTACAGGTGACTGATATTTCTAGACCTGGTCCGTGGCATGCTTTGCATTTTTTCATGTACTTCGTCACGGTTGCTCCATCTTCAAAAATTTAGAGAGGAGAAAAAAAAGAATTTTAAAAACAGGCACCCCTTCATGTTCATGTGTATTGTGGGGATATACGCTTTAACCCCCAACCATACGAGTTACTTTGTGAAGGATGATAATATGAACAAATCATCAATCCGCTCTCTCTTTCCAATTTGTTAGCTGATTCATCATAAAAATTTGCGTATCAACTACCGGAGCCATGCGGTTTCGTACTACAAGTGTAACGAATCGATTTCTAATTATAAATTCGAGAAAGGTCTATCTAAAGCCTCTCCAATCTACTAATTAACTTTCAACCTCTTTGTATCTACCATGACGTTTAGAAAATTGTGAACAAGATGGAGGAAACAGAGCATGCTCTGTACAATCGAGTACGTGCCGCTGAAATGCAACGCCGAAAACAAGAACAGGACGTACAAAGAATCTTTGTCGAATTGGAGCAACTGTCCAAAGAAAACCAGAAGAAAATGAGGGTTTGTACCAGTGATGTGCAGTGTACTGTCTGTAGCTCTAATTAGGAAAAAGTTAATCATAGTCATAGGCTTTCAAATTTCCACGTAAATATGGTGAGACAAGAATCACCTGCTGGGTTCCAAAGAAGACAGAAAAACAATTCTGTGCTGCTGTTCTGTACTTGTTCAGTGACTCTCCTTTAAACAGAATTTCACTACGAAACAAGGAAAAGATAAAGAGGAGGGCGCATGAAGGGAAAATATTTTTTATGGGAGTGAGGTTATGGAAGGAATCAGCTTTTTACATAAAAATATTTGGGCCTATAGAAGGGGGAAAGAGGTGTGTAGCATATCACCAGGAGCTTTTGGTGCGGAACAAGCTCAAATTCCCAGCTTTGCATTAGTCCCTTTTTTGTTTCGTTTGACGAAACATTTCTTCCTGAAAAGATTTTGCCATCCTAAGGTTTCTTGGAAAATGCTTGTGATCCTACGTCTCACAAGTTTTCATTTCAGAATGGACTTCTTGTTGTTGCTGTGTTATATGGACGAGGATCACTTTACCCATATTTCCTTCTCTTTGACGTTCTAAATCATTTTCCGTCATTAGTCCTTGTGCGATCTGTCTTTGTTTTCTCTTTGTTTAGAGGTGTTAGCCAGTATTCCAAGTACGCGATCTTGTTTAATGTTCTTCCTTTCCGTTAAAATATTAGTTTTCTACTTGCAGGAAACCCAGGAACAGTTTGGCCGAAAGAAAGTTGAGTTGGAACAGAAGCTCTTACGAGAGAAAGCTGAACTAGCAAAGGTAGGTAATCTGTGCTACGTTGTTCCAAACTCGATTGACACTGATCTCAGGCTAGCTACAAACGAAAAGAATAATAAAATAAAGTAAAATAGAAATGGGAAAAAACGGAAAGAAAGTAAAAATTAATAATTGTTGCTTTTGATACGTCAAGCGTCTCGAATAAGATAACAAGGGATGTATTCTTTTGGACAAACTTTTCGGATAATGTCTCCCCTCCTCGTGTATGCTCGAATCAACTGTAGCTAGACGGAATGTGGACCGTGCAGATAAATTGTATATGTTATGGTGTGATTTAGCACCTTGTAGAAATATTTATTATTTTAATTCGTTTTAACATCAGTGTAATGTAATATATGACCCCCCCGTTTCTCCACCATCCTTTCTCTTTTGATAGCAGCAGTTTTCCAGCGCATCGTTCGTTTATTCGAACGAACTTGTAAGCGGTTCGTTTTATTTTTTTCGTGTTCGTTTGTCGTCTTGATTTTGATTCCTTCTTAAAATTGTTACTATTATTAGAAAAAACTGCTCACATAGCAGCACTATACTTGCCCCTCGCTGGTTTGCGTGACCGTGTGGCTTTTGCTCGACATTTCTAGGCCCACAATCAGCGGGAAGAAAGCATCCAAAGGTTACTACACCACAGAGCGAAGATGAACGGCGACAAATACTTACTGTCTGAGGAAGAAAGGGTAAGTGGGTGCTATGCAAATGTAGTCTGTATGGTTTGATCGACGAGGGAAGTCTCGGGGAGTGCGCTACGTTATACTTATCAAAACGTCGGGAAAAAGTGAGATAGAGCAGATTATGACTTTAAGACAGGTGTCTGCCTCATTAACAATTGGAGTTCGAGCTCGAGATTTCTATCATGTGATAGTTGATGAGGGCCAAGCCCGAATCAACTTTCACGTGATCGAGAACAAGTAATCTCACTGTTTTAGTCGAAATCTACTGATCTTTCTATGCTAAACAAGACGCGCTCATTTTTCGCAACTTTTCCGCTTCTCATCCAACGCACTATTTATCATGGAATAGATAGCGAGAGGCGTAGCCAATCAGATTGCAAGATTTGTGAGGGAACTTTCGAAGATCTATACTGATTTCTGATATCAACTTTATGAACTGTCCTCTTACATATGACTCAGGTTTTTACTGTGTTCTTCCATTCTATGATCATTTGAGATCTGTTTCAGATAATCTATACCCTAATATACTAATATCATCATTTGCACTTCACACAGGAGCATGATCGTCTCGCCAAGATCGGGCAAAGAACAGACAATTTGGAGCAGGAAGTTCATTCATGAATACCACCAGTAGTCTCTGCCGAGCCTACGCAGCAGAAGCTCGCCAAGTGCGCGAGTTACACGTGAGCGAAAGAGAAGCACTCGTCGTGTACGCCATAACCTCTTTCCCGCGCGTGTCGCTCCAAATAGCTTGCGCAAGGTTGAGTCGAGTGTCTGCCACGTAGGCTAAGGTAGCGTTAGACTGATTAGCGTGATGTGTTGCTTTAATGCGCATTTGATGTTAATTTGTAGGTACTAGTTTTTAATACATGTATGAGTGATTTTGAAGATACGCTGAAGGTATTCCTCGCAATCGGGTGGGCTATGTTAGTTTCCTTCCCTTTATAAGTATCGCTCGATACGCTCTAACGGCAGACCCTTATTTTCCTATCTAACAATACATTAACGTTTTATTTTGTTCCAGTTTATTTCAGTATTTGTTTTTGCTTATTTGTATAAAATTTTTTGCTTATTTTTTTTTAGTCAAAGGTTTCCTAAAACTCGTCTTATATACAACAGAAGGTTGGCAATATTGACTGTATCAGGAAGCTAGAGAGGCAGTTGCTAGGTTAGTTCAGTTTAAGCGAGGGAAGATAAAGTTCTAAGTTACACTCAGAGGTAGGTATATCAGGTATAACTTGTAAAATCTTTTTGTGAGCTCAAGGCAATGTTCCTGAACATTCTCAAAACAACTATATATCGTATTCATAAAATGATTGGTATCACGTTCTTATTACAGCAAGGCTTCACTTGACAATTTTCCACGTAAAAAACTTCGCTCTCGGCTTATAAGATGTGAATGCACGCTGCATGTTTCAACTTCACGTGAGTTCTGTCTCTGGTAATCATGTCAGGGCTAGGAGTCTTGAGAGAAGTGTTGGTTGACTTAAGTTGAATTATTTTTGAATTCACAACATATTATGGAAGAAACTGCATTATTTTTCTTATCTTTTGAAAAGTAAAAAGTTTCTAACTTCTTTATTTGAGATTTCAAAGATTTCGTCTAAACTTTAGAGAATATTCCTCAAACTTTTTGAAAAATTAGAGTGCGGACGCCGCTATTTTTAGAGAAACTCATTGATCTGATTGTGCACACATGAAGTATTACTCATGCTTAGCCGGGTAGGCCCCAAACAGCTGCTGCACCAGCCATTGCTAAAAAAAAAACCTTTATCTGGTTAAAAAACGCCATATGTGGGACCTAATTGTTTAAACAGATAGGAAGGTTACTTTTTTGGAATAACAAAATGCGAAATGTGCGCAAATTTCATGCGTGGTTTTAATAGCAGATTTACAGTGGCATGGTTTCTGGGGCATGTTTCTACCTTGAATAACACTATAACGCCTTACTAAGTTTGAAAAAGCATATTGATCAAATTAATAAGAAATTTATGAATTTTACAGGTGGATTAGGGCAAGTGAGTGTTTTGAATTGTCTTATGCCTTCTAAAGAAGGTTTCTCTTATGTTAGCAGGTCGATTAGCTTTAATAATTTCTAAATCATTGTTGTAAAGTGAAGGGTGGCTTTCGCGCTCAGTTGTTGTTTTGACAAAAAATACCTTTGTAAGGTGAGTGCTGTGGAGAGGAAGCATAGGAATAATTTCTCAGCATTAGGCGTGAATGAAGCCTGTGATAGCGGAAGGGAACGAAGTGCACGAAGAAGATTGTACAAAAAATGAAAGCAATGTAAACAAAATTTAATTCTGAGCTTTGCACGACAGGTGTCGATTTTAGTCATGTAATGTAAGTAAGAGTTTATATTTTACTGAAAGATGTGCTAGGTTTATGCAATTAGAGCGCTTAGATTCTGATACGATTACAACCGCGAGTTCGAGGTTTTCTAGTTTTTAAACAGTGAGCATGCGTGAACAAGTGTTTATAAAGCGGAATAATTCAATAATGAACTAGTTTGTGGGAAAATGGTGTATTGTAAAAAACAAGATACAGGACACGTTAGCGGTTTTACAGTTTTACAACCTGAGAAAGGCTCAATTTCCTCCATTGATTATAGGCATGTTAGTATTTCGCTCTTCACTTGACGTCAAATCTTCTTGTAATCAAACTCTTCTTACAATCTCAAGGCCTCTAATGGTGTTTGTTATGTCCTTTCTGGAAAATGGGTAGGGAAAAGGTTATGATTTTGATATCGAGTGATATTGAGTGGATTAAAATGTGTGATATTTACACACCTGTGAATATTTCAAGTAAATTATTATTGTTTTATTTTTGTAAGAAGTGGCTTGGAATCTTTATTCAAGGGGTTGGGTCAGACTGTTTTAGTGCATGGTCGTGACATGCTTTGAAATGTCAAAATCACAAATTGAGATGGAAAGAAAAAACTTCAACAGCTTGTCTCATTACAGGCTTCATGTTTGGTAAGCAAATGCTTATTACATTGGTTGATTGTCGAAGCCGCAATAATGGATTGGTAAGATCGGGGAAAGGCTGGAGCGAACTTGTCTGTTCTCATCACTACCACCCCCCTCTAGAAACCGTTTTTTCTCGCCCTAGATATTCCCTTACCTTACAACTGCGATAAAGCGGCCTGAGCTCTCAATTGGACCATTCATAACCTGCGTGTCCAAAGTAACCATTCTGGTAGCTAATAAATCAATTCAAGAGAACTTAATCTCTTTTGATCAACTACTTTAACAAAATGAGTACAGATAAGGTCTTCTTGAGCAACGAAGAAAGTTTCTTTATTTGAGCTCATCATAAAGTTGTGTGGTACTGATTTGATAAGTAAAGGCGACATGAATGCTATCTCACTGGTCAGATAAAGACATGCATCCTTTTACTTTGGTGTAATGATTACAGTTGCCTTCTGTTGATAATTTCTCTATCTTGATTGCCAAAACTTTTTCCTTAGTCCCCCCAAACTAGCTTGCAGTCTTGTTAGCGCGAGTTGACGCGACTAACTTGTCATCGTTCATACGACCGGCCATGTTTTATTTAGAGTTGTAGTGGGGAGGGGGGGGGGGGGGGGGGGGGGGGGGACGGGGGAAAAACAAATCTAAGAGGACACAGATACGTCGCCCTTGCTGATATATTGGAGTGTGTACAGCCTTCAAAGTAATTCTCGCACGCCCTTGTAAAACAGGAAATACTCTGATGTATGCCGGAAGGGTTGTGACGAGAGGAAATGTTGACTGAATGTGAACATCTTGAACAAGTTAAAAAGGCAAACATCAATCTTAAATCCCATCTACTTGAAGGCCGTCAACAAAAATAATCGACAAGTAACAATGGATAACTATCAGTTGCTGGAAACAGACTTTCGCATTAAAGTACCGTGCGATTTCAATAAAAAATATTAATCGTCATTGTTAGATAGCGTCTATTCAGAGGTACAATTGAAAACCCCCGGGTAAAAGGTACGAATTTAAGACCCCTGGATATAAGAAACACTTTCACGGTTCACGAACGATATCAAAATCTGCGCACGGACACCTAGATGTAAGATTTTACGATCTATATAACCATTTGGGCACGAGAATACACACTTTATGTAACGATGATTTATCTCAGGTGGTTTTTATCAAAATTGTACGGTAGTTTTTTATAAAGGTCTGTTCCCAGCTACTGATTATGATCCGTAACGATAGCCTGTGAATGGGCGAAGGCTTGACTTCACAAGGACGAAAATAAGGATCAATAAACCACAGAGAAGACTATGCTGTCACCAAGAGAATAGATCTGTTGATTCTGAAGTACTCTGAACCTTTCACGCCCTTTATATTAACAGTGGAGGATGTTTTCGGCTCCAAACGCAACCGTGAATCGCACAACCACCTTTCCACTACAAACTACGCTGCCGACGTAAAGATGTATTCCAACAGTGAAAGCTTAAATTTCCGAAAAGGCTCCCGTAAACAACGTACGCGGTTTATGTACTGAGCCACTAGAATGAAGCAATTTGAAACAATTGTCAAAATTGATAGCAATTCAAAGGATATTCAACTCCCTAGAAAAAGGAACTTCTCAATTCAGTTGTCACGATTTTGCGTGGTTGATATAGAATTTTCTTCTTTGAGTGCGTTTTAACCAGACTGATATTCGCTGGGGTTTTGAAACCTTGAAATGCCTCAAAGTAACACTGAAGAATTTTGCATAAAGCATTGTGGTATTCAACGACTATAAAACAAAAAATTAAAAGTTTCTTAAGCTTTACTTATTAAATCTGCCTCGTGCCTATACACCGTTCATGTACATATTTAGACGTGAGTATTCCGCCTCTACAGATGTCTTCAAAGCGAGGCTGAAAGGGAAAGTAGGTAGAAACTAGGCGGGTATGTTTAAATTTATTAGTTTGCTTTGTGTCTTGAAGCCTTGATTTCAAGCTAAGCTCGATAAACCGGAAGTAGCCTTTTGGATACACGTGAAACGTTTTTTATTCAGCTTAACAGCAGCCATCGTTTCTTATTGGAGCCATTCATAATCGGCTGAAAGAAAGAACGAGTTTAAAGACAGATGGGACATACTTAGAAGTTCCCAATAGACAAAACAATAATTTACATTAACAAGCACAAGCCATAACCTCTTATTCTTTTCCTTTTTAGGAAAGTTTTTTCATCAATTCACTTTAATGACGGTTATCATTCTGGCTTTTTATCTGTCATTATATTCTTACATTTTAACAAAACCATACGTGTAGCAGCTGGTACATGCTCCATAGCTTCCATTGGTTCATAATGAAAAAACGATCGTTGAATACTGTCAGAATGAGACGAAAATTTTAGATCTAATATTTTGATAAGCGCTACCGCTCATAAAGCAGTTTAAAATACGTCGAATAGCATTCGAAGCAACGAATATTTCCAGGCAATCAGCACACTCGGGACCTTAAAAATATTTTACAAAATCAGACTGTTCCATCTGGAGTCTCAGGAGAGGCCTGAAATGTTTGCAGTTGAGAGGACACTTCCCTCAAGGAGTTAATAATTGGCAACGGGTGAAGTGATGAAGGCCCCTCCTTTCTGGTATCAGTGATGGCTGTTATCCCAACAACTGCTTCATAATCTTCCACTATTCTTGGAATGGAACGGTGGCCATCACTGTTGAGAATTTCTTCGATTTCAGTTGATTCCCTTAGCTTAGATAGAAAGTCCATGAATTCACTGTCCTGTGCACAAGAAAAGAAATAAAGTAGAAAATTTAAAATAAAAACTCTGCAATGAATCGATTTTGTACCTCAGATATAAAATTATCCTGGCATTATCATAATGTAGTACGTGTCCAAACCCAAGCTACTGTAAATTGTAAGTTAAAATCAAGCCAAAGGTAATCAAGAATGCCATCAATGTGGATCTAATATCTTTTTTCTGCATGAGTTTCGGAGGTTCAGTTTTACAGTGAAATCACCCATTAAGTGTAATGG